GGAGGGATTGGCTCCAGTAATATGAGGATTAAGCTGTTGGAATTCTCACTGAATAATTTGTGATGGGCAAAGTACAGCTCATAGTGACACCACTCGCTCTGCACAAAGTTGGGAGACAACACAAAGATCGACTTGTAGCTCTTCTCAATGCAGTTAATGATGTTCTCCACAATGCTCTTGCCGGGGATAAAGTTTCTCTCATGCTGGCACAGCTGTACACAGCCCTCCCTCTTCTCCAGGTTCGGGATCAGCTCGTTCTTCACCCACAACGAATCGCGCTCGCTGTAGGAAATGAATGCGTGAAACTGCAGAACGGTCTCCTGCTCTTCGGGGTGGTTGTGCCACGCTCTCCGCTTCGTCTGCGTCCACTGCCATGTCATCCGCAGGTACCACGGCACATCCAGGTAGATGCACAGAAAGGCCACGACAGCCACCAGCACCAGCGTCAGCACCAGAGCTGTCACAAGCAAGAGCACCGTGTTGCAAGCCAGTTCAGTCAGGTGGAAGTCCTTCAGCTGCGTTCCTCGCAAGTCTTCCGGGTACTCGCACATGTACGCCGCCGGCCAGCCAGCCAGCTTCCCCCCAGACCGCCTCTCCAGGCGGACGAAGTCTTGCAGTTCACAGGAGCACTTGAACGGGTTGTGCCCAGCTTGTAGCTCCCTGACCCTTGGGCAGCTCTGGAAGAAGTCGGCAGATGGGGTGAGGATCAAATTCATCTCTATGTTCAGGCACTCCAGGGATGTAAAGCCACTGCACCCCGGCAGGTCAGCCAGCCTGTTCGATGCCAGGTTCAGCTCTTTCAAGGATTTCAGCTCAGCCATCCCCTTGGGGACACTGCTGATCTGATTGTTTTGTAGGTCGAGTTTTGTGATATTGACTGGCAAGCACTCAAACACAGCATCCGTCAACTGATTTGAAGACAGGTCCAACTCTGTCAGAGACTCAGCCCATTGGCACTGCACATCAGCTGCATCGTGACGCAGCAAGTTGTTGCTCATGTCCAAGTATTTCAGTGATTTCATATGGCTAGTCATGAAGCTTACCTTGGGAAGGCTCTCAAATTTATTCCTCTGCAA